AGGAGGTGCTTTAGACAAGACATTGTCACACTCGAGGGTCTAATTCTGAAATCTATAATCCTCTCTACTTGTTTCAAAAGGGTATAAACATACTATATATTCATTTAGAAAGTCTACATTCTGTGAAATATAGGTGAAATTTACAAAATATTTTAGTAGAAGCATAAAAAATATAGTAAATACAGCATGTCTATGTGCACAGTTTAACATTATTGGAGTATTCCATGCACAATTTAAAAGTATATTTTCTTAGCAATTAAATATAAATTTGCGATATTTGCTTGCATTGTTCATAAACAACTAAGGTGAATAATAAAAAAAAAAATAGTTGTCATGCAATAGTCCTGAGTGACATTTGGCTAAAACGTGTTGGAAGACAATAGATATTAAGTATTTCTTTATGTTACCCCCATGGTGCTGCCCAAAATGGCGTAAACTACCTTTCTAAGATATCATCAATATCTGGATCTCTAAAATCCTGCTAACACAAGTAACGAAAGGTTACTCATAAATCTCTGCAATTCTATGTTTCACAAATCAAAACTCTGAGAAATCTTTAAAAAGATGACTCGAGGCCAAGAATAGTAAGTTATACAAAAGCACCCTCTAGTGTCAAGAGAAGCAACTCACATATAAGAGAAAGTAATGGGCAATTCAATATGTATCAAAATGTTTCAAAGTAAAAATGAGCATTCTACCTCTCACATTAACATTTTCCCAGATCTAACCAATACTAGCATCTATTTCAAAAATCAACTGACCTCTGTATTAAAAATATACTTACTGTAAAAAACACATGTATGTTCAACTTGTGATGAAGTCTTTCTTTGGTTTTGCCTATTAGATTTAATTTTTTGAGCCTATATTCCTAGCAAAGAAAGCATTCATCTTTAGTCTAGGACAACTGAAATGAAAAAATTAAAATGTCTAATAGCCATAGTTTCATTAGACATAGCCCGGTCCTACAATTTAAAGTATAGTCTATTCCTTTTTTTCCCCCTTCCTTCCTTCCTTCCTTCCTTCCTTCCTTCCTTCCTTCCTTCCTTCTTCCCTCCCTTCGTCCCTCCCTCCCTCCCTCCCTCCCTCCCTTCCTTCCATCTTTTTCTTCTCTCTCTCTCTCCTCTTCTTTCTTTCATTGGATATTTTCTTTATTTACATTTTAAATGTTATCCCCTTTCCCAGTTTCCCCTCCAGAAACACCCTGTCCCATCCTTCCTCCCCACTGCTTCTATGAAGGTACTCCGCCACCCACCCACTACCACCTCTCTGCCCTGGTACTCGCCTACACTGGGGCATGGAGTCTTCACAGGACGGTGAGCCTCTTCTTCCATTGATGCCTGAAAAGGGCATCCTCTGCTATGTATGTGGCTGGAGCCATGGTCCCTCCATATGTACTCTTTGGTTAGTGGTTTAGTCCCTGGGAGCTCTGGGCATCTGATTGATTGATACTGTTTATATTCCTATGGGGATGCAAACCCCTTGAGCTCCTTCAGTCCTTTCTCTAACTCATCTATTGGGGACCCATGCTCAGTCCAATGGTTGGCTGCTAACATCTGCCTCTCTATTAGTAAGGCAAAGGACACTGTCAATAGGACAAAACAGCAACCAACAGATTGGGAAAAGATATTTACCAATCCTAGATCAAATAAAGGGCTAATATCCAACATATACAAAGAACTCAAGAAGTTAGACTCTAGAGAATCAAATAACCCTATTAAAAATGGAGTACAGAGCTAAATAAAGAATTCTCAACTGAGGAATATCAAATGGCCAAGAAGCACCTAAAGAAATGTTCAACATCCTTGGTCACCAGGGAAATGCAAATCAAAACAACCCTGAGATTGCACCTCACACCAGTCAGAATGGCTAAGATCAAGAACTCAGGTGATAGCAGATGCTGGTGAGAATGTAGAGAAAGAGGAACACTCCCCCACTGCTGGTGAGACTGCAAGCTGGTACAACCACTGTGGAAATCAGTCTGGTGGTTCCTCAGAAAACTGGACATATCATTACCTGAGGACTCAGCTATACCACTCTTGGGCATATACACAAAAGATGCTCCAACATATCACAAGGACATATACTCCACTATGTTCATAGCAGCCTTATTTATAATAGCCAGAAGCTGGAAAGAACCAAGATGTCCTTCAACAGAGGAATGGATACAAAAAATGTGGTACATTTACACAATGGAGTACTAATCACCTATTAAAAACAATGACTTCATAAAATTCTTAGCCAAATGGATGGAACTAGAAAATATCTCCTGAGTGAGGTAACTCAATCACAAAAAGAACACAAATGATATGCACTCACTGATAAGTGGATATTAGCCAAAATTCAGAATACCCAAGATATAATTCACAGACCACATGAAGCTCAAGAAGAAGGAAGACCAAAGTATCGATGCTTCAGTCCTTCTTACAGGGTGGGGAACAAAATCCTCAAAGGAGGAAATACAGAGACAAAATGTGGAGCAGCAAATTAAGGAAAGGCCACCCAGAGACTGCCTCACCTGGTGATCCATCCCACATATAGTTACTAAACTCAGGCACTATTGTAGATGCCAAGAAGTATGGTCTATTCTTTAACTATTCCTCAGAAATATTTTTCCATCATATTATACAGTATTTAATCTAGAAATATTACTTTTTCAACTTAAAGTTTTGAAGGATATAAAACCAGTATTTCGATAACTTGAAAAACTTGTAACAAATATGTATTAATGAGTATGAAACAGCAATTAGGAATCTTACAGTAGAAAAAAAGCAAAAGTTAAGTTATTCTTAGTATTAACATATCAATAAACATACCAAGCAGCAGTTTATGTTTTATGTCTTTATTGGTTGAGTGGATATATCATCTATAATTAAAAAAAAAGTGAGAGAGAGACAACTGCGATCACAATGGTCATATTTTTCAATGAATAACTTTCGGAACAATCTATAAGGTATTTTCCATTTTAACTTAAGCATACAATCATTTTTAATCCTACCACACTCAAAACTAACTGTGCAAATAAATAAAAATGAATGGTGAATAGGAAGACTGCTTAAAAACTGTAGCACAACACATCAGCATGAGAGTACAGTATGGACCACAGAGGCGTGGTGGAAATTGTTGTAGCGTGTTCATGTATGTACTTCATTGACTTAGTGCTTAGAGTGACGTCCGGACTCGAGGGCTGAATGTGTCTGACTGGCTTGTCTCTTGGCTGCATGCTGTAACACTTACTTGCTACTGCTGAAGCCGACGACAACAACCATGTGCCTCTTTACTTAAATCCTACGTATCCAGCCACTCCTTAAATCCAACGTATCCAGCCACTCCTTAA